AAAAATTAGGAAAATAAAAAATTTTCAATTTTATTAATTTTTGTTATTTAAGTAGTTGTCTAAATAATGCTAATGTTGGTTAATATTGCTTCTTTATCTATGAAATACTCCTGAATCTAGAGAACGTTATCTGTGCGAAGCCCAATACAAGAAGAAGTTAAAAAAAAAATTATGCGGAAACTGCAGGATTTTTAAGAAAACGCATTTTGAAGAACTAAGAAAATTTGTTATTCAAAATACTTATTATGAAATAAAATTAATTAAAGAGTGTCATAAGCCGTCTTTAGTTATTTTGTTCTAAATAATTAACTTGTCTTTATTTATGTATTCTACCTTATATGAAGGTACAATTCTCCAAACTCACTAATAAGATTCTTGTTCTTAAATCTACCCATGCATATTTATTTATATAAATAATTGCAAAACACAAATTATAAAAAATGCATTCGCGAATAATTATTACAAAATAAATACATACTTTGATGAAAAATAAATAGGGGAGATGATGGTATAATTTTTATCTTATGCAATAATTTAAATTTTTCAAATTTTCTTTATATACAGGGTGACTCAAAAGGTTACGCAAAAAATTATACTAGTGAAATTTTTTGTTTATAAATTCTGTTTTCCGTTAACAAAAAAATATTAGTATGCTTGTACTAAATAGCGGATTGAAATGGGGATTTGAAACCAGATTACCAATGATGTAATATATTGCTTTATACCTTTTTGTATCACCCGTATAGATTAGATTAGACTTTGGGTGACAATGCACCGCAATAAAAAAAATGGATCTATTGTGTCCCCTCTGCCATCTATCACACTTAAAGCACTCCATCAATACCTATTCTTCTGACAAATTCGAGTATCTTGTGGGGATCGACTTCCCGCAGCTCTCTGCGAGGATATAACTACCCAGGGACTCCTTCTACTGCGGCGCCTCGCTCTCTAGGCCAAACGCCTCTTGTGATCTCTTTCGGCGTAAGGTATTCGGTGTTAGGTTAGGAGCCAATGCTCACTGTGTCCCGTTAGGAGACCAATGAGCTTTCACTCATGATTCCTACCCGTTCTTATTATTCTCCTATACAGCGCTTGATCATAATCACCTAGGAACTCCTTACCCTTCCTCAACCCAAGACGGACTCTCACTCCTTCTATGTATTTCCCGAGCTTCTCTCGGATCCCACAAGGGTGTGTTTGGCTGTCTCTTTCTGCTGGACACATCAGCACCTTTATTATCCTCTTTACAAAAGTGCCTCGGCACCTACTTGTTTACATAACTGCTACATAATTTAACTTGGTTCTACCTTCTTCATTAAGCCAATTAAGACAACCGCCCCCTACCTTAAGGTCGCCCTGTATGTGTACGATACTCAAGTGATTGTATAAAATAAAACTTGTTTTAAGCTTAAATTATTTTTCATTTTCTAGGGTGTATCTTCTGTCAGACTATCAAATTATGTTAAAATAAAAAATACATTATATTCATAATTATTATAAAAAGTCATCAAAACGCAAAATGTAATAAAAAAGACCATTTTTAATATTCTAAACATTCCTTTTTTAATACTTGCGCATCGATTTTATAAAAAATAACAAAGATAAAAAAAATAGAAAAGAAAATTGGAATGAAAATTGCATTTAAATACCAGCTCAGATGTTAGATTGGTGCATTAAAAAGGTTATTGCGAATTTTGAATCGATTTGTTTTACAAAAACTGTTTAATGTAATGTTCTTTATTTTCTATAATTACACCTGCGTGGATATAATTTGAGTCGAGTTCCTGTAATACGTTTTAAGATATACAAATATTACATATTTTTATATATTTGTATATCACAATTTGTACATAATATACCGTGCTGTAGCAAAAGTCTATTCCTATATTTCACTTAGATAGTTCGCATATTTTATATATTATATCTACGTTATATACATAGTTTATAATATTTAATATTAAAAATATTTCTTAAAGAACGCTTAATCTATAACTTATATCATTCAATTCTCAAGTAGATGTCGATGTGTACACCAAAATACGCTATTTTGTGTATACGAGTACACATGCCGACAACAAAAAATGTTGCATCAAAATATAAATCATATTTTTTATTAAATTCATATTAAATAATAATTTTATGATCCTTCTCAAAAACTTTGTGTAAATAACCATATTTATTAAATAAGTAATCCTTTGTTATTCCTGAGTTATAAGTTAATTTAAGATTACTTGTGCAAGTTACATGAGGAAGGTGTTTTTTATGCAAGACTTTCGAATCATTGCTTACAAAAAACATATGAGAAAGAAAATTAATAATATTAACAGCTGCTGCAGATCAACAACAAGCTATTGTATTGTATGAATATATTATCTACATTTATGGAGTATATTATATTGTTATCATGTAGGTTTAAACACACAATGTGTATTTGTAGTGGATGATTTTTTAAGCGTTGGCTTAGTTAAAATTTAAAGAAGTGAAGATTTTGCACGAAATTTTTATTTGAATTGATAAAAAAATTATTGACCATAAAATAATTTTATATAAAACATTATTTTAACCATGATTACGTTTCAGGTGATCCATCCACAAGATGCATCCACAGGTGAATATTCAAATTTTAGGCCGAATATCAACGATAAAATGATTGATATCGTTTTCTGAAGCCAATGTAAATTACTTCCTTTTTTCATTAGTTCGACTATATCACTTAAGAGATTAAAAACGCCAGATTAATTGCTTAGTTTTTATAATTAGTTTTAAAATTTGAACCGTTTTCCGTTCGGGTATCTGTCTTTATAGAGTGAGCTTGATGTGATAAATAAATCAAGTGGGCTTGATGCGATAAAAAACGTGTGTTAAAGATGGAAACACGAAAAACCAAAAAGCAAAAACAAAATCACCCGTTATTAAATTGTCTAGATTAATTCCCCATTTTTTTCATTTAAATTTTTATAGATTGATTCCTTGTGAATGAAAAGTATTTTGAACCACCTCATTGAACGGTTTGGTTAATGTGCAAATTTTATTATTATGAAAATTGCTGTAGTATTTCTAAGTAATATCCACACATACAGCCACATAAATAAGTACGTGAAGCTTAAATAAATAGGTTAAAAAAGTGCACGTATTATTGATGGTTTCCCGGAAATTTTAAGATTATAGTGTATTTTTTTTTTTTTCTTCCATTCAAACCATTTTTTTTATCGTCGGAATTACGAAAGGAGACGTAACTTTAAAATCATTTTACTGCTTATTTCTAGGTTGCGAAACCAACAAAAATATTTTTTTTGGATAACTTTTTCAAATACTTACTTATATACCTAGTACTTACATATTGAAATGTTGCAAGAATTTTATAAAAATGGTTCCAAATCAGTTTACATAAATACTGTAGTTAAACGGTAAAATTTTAAAAAGTGTTTACATCAATATTTCCTTTTTAATTTATTTTTAATCTTTAATTTCCAACTTGTCAAAAAAATAAAAATCAATTAAGTAACAAAAATTTTAATATTTTAAAAACAGTTTTTTTAATACCGCTACACTATGAATTTAACGCAGTATTACAATACAAGTTTTTAAGAAAAACCAAAAGTTAAAGTTCTATTTAAATTCAAGTTCAATTTTTATTCCTGAAGAACACAAAAATTTTGATTGAGCATAATATTTTGGAGATAAAATAAAGAATAAAAATATTTCTCTTTGGAGACTTTTAACTTTTATACGAGTACCATCTTAAACTTAAACATATTATTTCTTTATCTGCAGAATTTGAAATGAGTGAGAGAGAAGTAAAACATAAACAAATTTTGTTTTTGTCTTCCTTTTCAACTTGTTATGAAAAACTTTTATTATAATAATGTTTAGTTGTACAAACTGCAGTAAATAAAAACTAGTATTTGTATCTATAATAAAGAAAGAAGACATTGAAAATGCAATTTATTGTATGAATGCGTTTTAATAAATGGAATGTTTGATTTATACTTTAGTTTTAAATTGTTTTATACTTTGTTTATCTGTAATAATTGAAACAAAATAATGTTAAATATTAATATGTGGAAAAAATGTTAAATACAAGTTCCATACATAATTATGTAGATAGTTTGCACGTACTTATATGTTATATTTTAGTATACTCTAAAATTAATATTTTGTGAAAATAAAAATATAATGTAAATGAACTAGCAAATACTGAATTCTTAATATAACAATATTAATTCTTATTATTAAAAATACTATATATGTGTATGCAAATGTACAAAAATTAATAATTAACTACAATGGTATTGAAAAAAGCAAAATTAAAAGTGATAAATATAGAGTATATAAAGCCTCATGTTTACGTACGTACATACCTACAATGTTAATTGCAACATAAAAACTCTAAAAATATAAAAATGTCACTCAATTGTTTTTTTGAATTTTTAAAGCCCTGCAAGATGATAAACAGTTGATTTTAATATAAATTAAGTATAGCTACTTTATATTTGCAATAATCAAAAATTTTAGAAAACTTTTAGAATTTTAGATAATTTTAGAATTTTTTTTTTCATACCAAAGGCATTCATTTACAAATTTAACAAAAAAACTATACTATCGTTGTACGATCTAAATAATTTAAATGTACTACAGCTACGCGTATAATATCCACATGTACATATATTCTATATTTCTATATCTATATTGTTCATATACATCAACGAGTACTCACATCAACATGTAATTTTATATTTATGTGCATTGTGTGATTCTGCTTTATAAGAAATAAAGAGAGTTATGTATTTTATTAAGAAACTAAACATGGGAACAACTTTTTCATCGTATGATATCTTAGTTTTGCGTGTCTTCATACATGTTTGATTGTTGTATAACAATTTTTATGTTTGATAATTTTGAAAAAGTAAAAAATTTAATATTGAAGAAAAGCAATTCTTTTTTTTTCACCTTTTTTCAGTAAAGCTTTTTATTTCGTCGTGTATAGTTAACTGCTTAATTAAACGCGGATACGAAATTTTTTTATTTTATCAAAATAATTCAGAGTAATTTTTAAATTTTTTTTTTTTTTGGTAAAAATCATTTGTTCTTTTGTGAAAATTTTTATGAGAAACTTTAACATTTTTAAGTGCTTCAATATAACAGAAATATTAAAAATTATTTTTAATTTGTTTTATTTTAGTACTTAATTATATTTTTACTTTTAATTTAAATTAAGTGTAAACAAAACAAAAAGAATTTAAACATGAAGTGCGGGTTTTGACTACCTGTTTATTTGAAGGAAACGCTAAAGTTGCAGATGATTTTCTTCCTATTTTTTTGTTTTCTGTTTTGTAGTGCATTTTAAGTACAAAGATTTTGTTTGAACATCTTTGCTCTATTGTATTTATAAATGTATCTATATATTTACATACTTATATACAGTATGTACATATTTAGTATATTTAGAATTAAAAATATAAAAGTAATGTAGACAAGCTAGAATTTTAGAATTTATGTTGTTGCACTTTTTGGTTTACTTTTTAACCATAATTTAATAAAATTAAAATAAACTACGAATTCTAAGATAAAAAATTGATTTAGTTATATTTGTATGTACCTACATATATTATATGTATATGTATATATATTAACATATTAAATGGATTTACAAACATACAAAGGTAAAATTAAAAATTAAATAAGGACAACAAAAATTAATATTAAATATTAGTAACTTAATAAAAAAATAAAAAAGATAAAAAAAGCGAAATTGTGGAAATTCCAGTTTAGAGTTTAGCGGAAAATTGGAATTTCGACTTGAAAAGAAGTTAAAAAAAAACGTGTTGAATTTTCTTAAAATTTTTGCTTTTCTGCAATAAAGAAATTTAGAAAAGAAAAAAGTGTAATTTTAAAGAAAAGAAAAATATCTCTTTCTTTATATAAATATTTACAATTGAAGATTAAAAGATTTAAATTCGAATTTTCATTTTATTTAAAGCTTTTTTAATATAAAAAAAAGTGCATTAATAAAAAGAAAAAAAAATTAAAAGTGAAACTTGCACCGAAAATTTTTTTTTAAAGAAATTCGAAAAAGTGCTCTTCTTCTTCCTGCTTTAAAATTTTGATAAGGAATTCAAATATAAAACATAGACAACAAACATTCTTCTAGAGTATTCAAATATACTTATAAGTTGTATGAAAGGATTATTAAAAAAACTTTGCAAAAGGTAATTTTTAAATAAAAATTTTTGAATTTTAATAAAAATTTCCAAAATTTTGAAAACTATGAAAAAAGAATGTTTAATGAAAATCATTTCGTTATAATAGTCACTTATGTTATCATTTACGATCCATTCAGGTTGGTAGTTGGAACACAATATAATTTTAGGTACCTAAATACCAATGGTTTAAAAACTCATTACTCACAGTTAGTACCTAGTTTAAATTTTATTTTAAATTTTTGATGAAATTTCCAAAATTCACACGTGCGATTTGTACGAACAGCATATGCAACATAAGTATAATATATTAATCGGTATTTCTAAAATTTATTCGAATTTATGTGTAGGTGTGTTAAATTGTTCCATCTTACTTAAGTACTTAAGTTTTAAATGGAAAAAATTTTGTGGACTTTTATAATCATTAATCAATTTTTTTAACTGCTATTACAATACCGTTTATTAAATATTATTTTTCATGCATTTATCAATATAAAAAGTTCAATCATCATGTTGAAACCAATTTTAGAAAAAATAAATTAATAATAATTAGAAATAAAGAATGAACCTAAAAAAATCGTGTTTGACGTTCATTTGTAAAAGAAATGAAAAAAAAAATATTTTTGATATTTTCATTCGTTATATTCTATAACGAATGAAAATAATTAAAAAGATAACTAGTTTTACTTTCGCTAGAGGCTATCAATTACTTAGTTTTTTTTATATCCAATATTGCTTATCAAAATGTAAGAGGGAAGAATATTCACTAAAGTTATTTTCCTTAGTCTTTAACGTATGGGTTATAACGTAAAAAAGGAAATAAGGAAAGAGTTGAAAAAAAAACACGAAATCTTTTTTTTCCAATCAAAATCTAGATTTTAACTTTATATTTTCTCATATGAGAAATTTTGTTTTACACTTAGCTTATTCGTAATTGTTTTCTTGTACAAGTAACAGAGCGTGAATTGTTAATTTATTTTGAATATTTATGTGTACACATGCCTATATGTGTATGCACACACATGTATGCCACATATTAAAGAACTAATTTTTTAATAAAAATGTTGGTTATTTTGAAAATCATGTTCTGAATGAATTGTAAAATTTTAAATTTCTCCGAAAGACCAAAACGAAAAATGATGTTGAAATAGAGAAAAATAAATTAATGACAAAAAAAAAAGAAATTTAATTTATACTTACATACATAGTGTCAGAATACCCAAAAGTATACATAGTTGAATTTAGTGTGATAAACGGTTTTCGGATTAAACAAAAATATATTAAAAAAGTTCAATTTCTAAATTCAAGTAAATAAGAAAACAATAAAAAAATTCCTACAAATGGTCAAAATAAACTGAATTTGTTTTTTTTACCTTAAGTGATTTCTTTCTGAAAGTTCAAATAAAAAATGTTATTGCATGTTACATCTTCTGTTTAAGGATTTACGTTATTTGTTTATGTACAAATTTAATCTTTAGAGATTTTAATGCATATAAGTATAGTACTTAAGTAAGTATATTCATATATGATAGGGTAGTGTGCATGTCTACGTGCTTAGAGGAGGGTGGGCCAACATACCTCTTATAAGGCCGAAACTATTTTGAGGAATTCGGCCCCTAGAGATCTGAAAGTAGGTAAAAAGGACGAGATCGGAGTTATAGAGAGTTCGTCCTAGGCTGAGACCACCGAGGAACTTGTGGGAAATTATACGGTATAGGAAAATAATACGAATGCCATATAAACGAGACATTGCCAATTAAAGGGTAACATGGGGAGTGGGGGTTGCCCCTGGGAGACGGGGGCTCGAGGTTTTGTCGGGAAAACGAAGAACAACTCGATGCACCTTCTTGGTGTGTGTAGAGCGTTGATCCACAGCAGAAGAAAGTCGCTGAGTGTCTGATCTAATGTAATCTAACTAGGAGTATATATATCTGGTCTTTTGCAAATTGTTATTTACTTATTTATATAATACATATATGTACATATATTTACATACGTATAGATAACATATGTATGTTATGTATACACAAAAGGAACAATAATATATTAATTAGATTGTTTCTTAAGTTGAAATGTAACCTTATAAACCAACCTTTACTGCATAACTAATTTTATAAACAAATGTTCCTAAACAAGTTTATCCATACACGCTTCTGAACTATGAGAAATATAGAGAAATTGTTACGAGAAGCGCAGTTTAATTTCATGGACTGTTTTGTTTTTATAGATTAGTTAAAATACATCGTATATCAATCGCGCTATATTTTTGCAGTATTTTTCATATAATTATATGAGATAAGCAATAACATACTATAATACTAATTATTTGATTTTGGCGAACTCAAATCATCAAATCATCTGCAGCACGCCCAGTTTGTATGCGTATTAAGAAAACTGGAATTGCCTCCAATATACCACCAATTTGAAAAAATGTACAGATAACTGGAAAATAATATAAACATGCAATATAAATTTATAAAATAATTATTTTAAAAAAATTATTTTTTAATTATAAGTAATCACAAAATTTAATAAAACCACAAATTCTATACATGTATTTTAATTTATTAGTAACTCAAAACTTATAATACCTAGGCAAATCATAAACATTTGAATTATTTCTTTTTGTTTGTTAGTATGTACTCTTATAACTCAAAAAAAAAAATTTGCATTGAAATAAATTTTAGTAACTTAACTACCTACATATTATATTTACTACGATTACTACTGCTATTATTTTCTTTTTATAACATTTTATCTTATAGCAGCACTAAAACCGAATGTTCTGCTTTAATTTCGTGGCAAAAAAAAAAACATATTTCAGTAAACAAAACAAAAACAATAATAAAATTGCAAGCCGGTTTCTTACCAGTTGTAGTTATTATACACTCTAATACATATATGTATGTATGTATCTTTATAAGTATAATTTGCTTTATATACGTATACATGTATGTAATTAAAATTGTAGATGGAGTTTCTGTTTAGTTAGTATACGAGATGTTGTACTTGTATATGTACATACATGTATATGGTTTTTAACAACGTTTTATAAACCTGCATCCCTATATGCATATACATATATACATATGTACATATGTATGGGTTTTATGCATTTAATATGAATTTCAATAGAAATAAATGACATGAAATTATAATTTAAAAGTATTTTTTGGCTTACACCATTTAGATTCATAAATATGTAAATGGTGTAATATAAATTTTTTTAAAACAATTTAAAGATTTAACTTTAAAATATTAAAATAGTAAAACTTTGGAATTTTTTTTATTAAATTGAAATACTTTTACCAAAAATTGTAATTTAATTCACATACTAAAGGCTCTGACTAAAATGGATTCTTTCGAACTAGATATTTTCGAAAAATAAATTAAAATTAATTTTCAACTAAATTTATCTTAGATGTCAATTTTTGTATTTCTCTGATAATAATCCGGGTGTTTCGCATAAGGTGGGAAATAATTTCAGCCTGTAGATTGTAGAACCTCCCTCCCTTGAATTTTTTGCCAGAAATTGACCAAAGAATGATCCCTGAAATTGTTTTGCCACCTTATGCGAAACACGCTATACATATATATATATATATATATATAAAAATATATATATATAAATATATATATTTGTATACTTATATCTAACTTCAAAAATATAGTAGTGTAGTATAAAAATATAGTTAGTAATTAAAATGTTTATGTGCAATCAACCGTTAGGTATTATTAATATTGTTATTTGTTATATGGATACGAAACTAATAATATTGGAATCAGGTTTTTGGCTAACAGTATTTTGAGTTGAAATAATATTTTAGCATCAAATGATTTAATAGTGGGTTATAAAATATTAAGAGCTTTACTTTATCTTTTGTTTTGTGCTATTCCTTGGTGCACAGACTTACATAATTGTACTTATTAGTGTATAATATAGAATTTAATACTTACATTCTATATTACATTCTTTGTAAATTTATTCGCTCATATTTGCTTTTGTTTTCAGGAGAAGGAAAAAATATTTTGAAAGAATTTTACTAACTATATGATTTTATTATCATGAATAAATAAATAATCAAATAACTAAAATAGAAAATAAAATTTATGATTTGGGTTAAGTAAGGTTTGTAAAACTTAAACCGCAGTTTAAAAAAACAGTTAAAAAAAAACATAAATATTAAAAACAATTTTCGTCTGAAAATTTGGAAATGTGCTCTAATTTTTGTATACATAAGTAGTAGTTGATTGCAACTTTAAATAAATACAAAATGGAGAACTATAATTATTTTTTTTGAGAAAATTTTTTTTTGAGAAGGTTCAGCACAATTTTACTAAATTCTGATGAAATTTTAATAGAAAAACATTTGATTTTAGTTTCCAATCCTTTTAAATTGCAATATTTTTAGTTCATATTAGATTTTTTTTCATTTCTTTTTCAATTGCGTCTCCATACGTATCTTTTTCCTTACTTCTTACATCTTACGAATCTCTTTATTAAATTTTCACTTCGGAATATAAGTATGAATTCCAAATTAAAATTCAAAATAATAAAAAATCATTTATACATACATACACATACGTTTTTAAAAAGGATCGAGTTGAAAACTTTTGTTTGTCGAAAGACCGCCTTAAAATCAAAATTACTTAAGTTTTGGGCCAAATTAATGAACGATTACATTTGGTACACTCCGAGCTATCAATACATACAAAAATGTTTCAAAAACTTATTTCGTTTGCTGATTACAAAATGGAGACATCATTTTGCACGATGGTTTTTATGAATCCACTTATTTTTATTTTCAGGATTTTAATTCAATAGTCTATTGTAAGAAAGCTTGCATTTTCTAAAAACAACAAATTTCATGTTTATCATCAATCAAAAACCAAACTAATTCCATGAATATACCTATTTTACAGTTTTATACTTACTGTTATAGATCAATAATTTTCTGAACATTATTGACATTATGATGTCATAGATAATATGATTTGAAGCTTCTCTT